GTCTCCTCCCCCTGGGCCAACCAGTCGGAGTCCAAGCCTTCCCGGATCCGAGCGACTTTGTCATGCAGATACTGCGCAAAATCCTCGGCCCTCCCCTCCAGGGGGTCCCCGCCTCCCCTCAATTGAAGGAGAGAGCGGGTCACCCTGAAGAGGGCGGCCGGGCGGTTATCTGATGACGCGATGAGAGTGGAATAATAATCGTGTACCAGCACGATTCGCTGAAATACCTCAACTTTATGTTTAATATCAAATGTAATTGCTTCTCCATTTGGTAGAGCTTATCCCATATTTTCATTTAAATAAGATGCATTTTTATTTAAATATATCTCTTAAGCTTTGAATTAATTAAAAAGTAAATATTTTTCGGTTGAAAAATTTGAGGTTTAAAGTACAAGAACTCATAACAGTACGTTAAATTTGTCCATTGACTTTCACAAATTAGGCATAAGATGATAACAACCATTAGACAAAATATTGAAAGAAAGTTGCATTAAAATTATATTTCAAACCTCACTTAAATTATCCTTGATGTAGAAATTGGCATTTCCCTGGAAATTATGCTGCACATTCCTTAGGTAAATTAAAAAAATTGCCCCATATGCATATTCTACTTTAGTTCTGAACTTCAAATATGAAATATATACCTTAAAAGAGAAGGAAGATCATGTACGATATAGGCGGATTAAAAAAGAATACTTAAGTAATTTTTGCTCAAACTCTTAGCCTTTGCAGTCTTTTGTTACTTTTAAGGATTAATGTAAGGGAAATTGTTAGTTAAAATTATTCTCAAAATGCTTTTAAATAAATAAAATTTAGCATACTTTATTCCTTTGAGGTGGCTATTTAAAGCAGTTATAAAAACCAGCTTGAGCCCCATAAACACTACCCTTCTCATTCAGACACTTATTTCTAGAGCAGCTCCTTCCAGAAAAATAATATCTTTAGGAATGGTCTAAAATGGATGAAGCACCAAACAGCCATACTTGAAAGGATTTCTCGCTGTCACCCCTTACATCTTTGTATCTGACATGTCCTACCATATATATTTAAGAAAGAAAGCCTAGCAAGGTGGGAGCCGTGAAGTAACACTACTCTGAAACATTCTCCCAGGTAGGCGTACAAGAGGCTCTAGATCAGAGATCCCCAACCTTTTGGGCACCAGGGACCGGTTCCGTGGATAAAGGTTTTTCCGCGGACCAGAGAGCGTGTGGTTTTGTGTGCTGCCTGCATCCCGTGGATGGGGCTTTGCTTGTTTGTGCGGACTGGTTGCTGGCATGCCGCGGCCCAGTACCGGTCCAGGGACCGGGGGTTGGGGACCCCTGCTCTAGATGAAGCTCTGCTAGCTAGATGGATGGCTTTGGTAGTTCACATTAATCCCATGAGGTGAAGGTTGGACTTCAGTAAGAGTGAGTACATATCGAAAGAATATCCAGTTAAAAAATAAATCTAAATTATCTCACTATTTTTTAAATGTAGAATATTGGGATTTACATTACAGTGGGATTCATATATAACATGATTTTCAGCTAAACCTGTTGAAGCACATAATAGAAATGGAAGCTGAATTGAGAACTGTCAAAATTGAGAGCTGTCGAGAAAAAGGGAATGGGTATTGTATATCCAGTTCAAATTTTATTTTTGTCTCCAAGAAAAATAGGAGTTTTAAAAATGTCTTTTATTGATTGAAAAATATAAACGGATTAAGGAGACAGCTGTCATCGAAAGCTGTGCAACCCACAATGAGTACTTTCTAGTATCCATGGCAGCTTAGCATCTTGCTACTAGCAGTATCTGGGGAAGAATCTATTTAGTAGAGCCTTATTATGATTGTCTTAAGGCAGGGGTAGGCAACCTCGGCTCTTTTATGACTCGTGGACTTCAACTCCCAGAATTCCTGAGCCAGCCATGCTGAGGGGGAAAGGGAGAGGTTTCCAAGCTGAGCCATGCTGACTCAGGAATTCTGGGAGTTGAAGTCCATGAGTCATAAAAGAGCCAAGGTTGCCTACCCCTGTCTTAAGGCAATTGTTACTTAAAGTATATCCATTTTTATCATTTCTACCAATTACAAAGTTGATGAATTAAAAATGGGTGGTTTACATTTTTACAAAGATTCCTTTGTAATTTGATTCCCATATCAAATGTATGTGCCTGCATTCTACCCCTCAAACTTTTTTTACTTACTTCTCCAAAAGGAGAAAGTCACATAGACTTAGTCATTCAGTGTTCTGTATGACGAAAAGTTCATGGCTGAAGGGCAATTGTTTGCAGGCCATTGTATGATTTATAATCAGATGCTTAACGGTTTTGAAACTAATTAAGACCTCAGAATAAATGAAACAGATTGTCCACAGTAGAAATAACATCTACTAGGATGTTTAAGGAAAATTCCCCAAAATGGAAAAAACTGGATCTCTTAATAATCAACTTTGTTTACTGTTTGTGTTTGATATTCTGAACAGTGTCTTTCTCTGAAATTAC